GTCAAGAGGATGAGGCCAGCCTCTTCTCCGTGGTGCCCAGCGACAGGACAAGAGGCAATGGGCAGAAACTGAACCACAGGAAGTTCCATCTGAACCTGAGGAAAAACTTCACTGTGAGGCTGGCAGAGCATTGGAACAGGTTGCCCACAGAGGTAGTGGAGTCTCCTTCGCAGGAGATATTCAAAACCCGTCTGGATGTGATCCTGGGCAATATGCTCTAGGTGACCCTGCTTGAACAGGGAGGTTGGACTAGATGATCTCCAGAGGTCCCATCCAACCTAAACGATTCTGTGATTCTGTGATACCCTGAGGCATCGTTCACTGGATGAGGGCAGCCATGAAGGGAAATATTTCTGATATTAGGTCAGTCTTCACTGATGGGAGCTGTGCTATTGCCAATATGAAATTCATGGACTAACAGGGAATAAAGTTCGATTTTGAGCATTCATTAAAAGATATATATTCTACAGGGGGGAGAATATAACTTACACAAACTGAAAACTCGGGGCCCTTGATTCTTTGTTTACCATCCAGTTATCAAGACAAAAAAAGAAGACTCCTCAAACTACATGATGACTGGTGGCCATTGACAACACCCTCAGTGAAGATACTGGGCACTACAGATAGACCAAAGGACAGGACGTGGAATTGCTGATGATCTGATCAACCAGGAATGGAAGGTGGTGTTGCAGGGGTGTCCTCATTGCTATGTGAAAGCATCCTCCAGCTGGGAGGTATAGAACAGTTCTCTTCGTGAGTGGTTACCTCAATGTTCACCAGGATGGCGAACTTGAATTTGTAGTTTAGCCTCTGAAGGTGGAGGATGGCACGCCATCTACTCCTACTCATTCATACCAGATAGTCCTGTAGAGCATCCTGCCCTTCAACAGTGCCTGCACTGGCTCAGGGGTGGCTTGAGAAAGCACCATGGTGACTTTAAATGAAATAAGATTTTATGAGAATGACCCTTGAAATAGATGTAGGGGTGGGAGGAGGGGAAGCAGCAATAAAGCAATTCGTATTTAACATCTACAGCTGCCTGCACCCAATGCCCAGAGCCCCAGCGCTGTGTGGTTCTGTGCTGGTGACAGCGATGCCAGTTTCTCCCCAAGGTGATGCTTAGGCTGAAGGTAAAGAAGGGTAGAAAGAAGGGCTGTGCTTCCAGGCTGTACAGCATATGCACGATTGCTGTTCGCAGCCCTAGGCTCATGGAAAGCACGAAAGAACAATCCACAGAGTGTACTGTCAGTGCTTGGTACACGAGGCCACAAAACCAGAACTGCTGAGATACAGAATGTGTAAAAGGCCTCTGAATCAGTAGAGTGATGTCCTCCTCCTCCTTGTAGCAGAGACAAAGGTCCTTGGAAAAGCATATGGGTTCTTAAAAGACCAGAGCATTTTGCTGAGTCTGGAATAAAGATGGATGAACCTGTAGTGGGCAGATCCCCAGCGGAAGATGGTGTTCCCTATACAAGACTATACATTTATGACGGTCAGCATGGGTTGACAGTCATAATGACAGAATGGGAATATATTCCCTCTGCAAGGAAAATAACATGCAAAGATACGTTAACAACGGAACATCTGCCGGAATGGACATGAAATCCCCCCAGTAACGTAAGGGAAAAATTCAAAAAAGATTACCAATTGACTACCTAGACAAATTCTGAAAGAATATCTGAGCATGTACACAGTTCATCCCTGTTCCTTATTAGTATGGGGAGTGACAGATGCTCTTCAGAAGATTTATACAAAGGTTGGAGCTTTCAGGCCAAAAGGCTGCATCAGCAGTGCCTGGTGTGAACAGGTCTGCCTTAGCACAGGAGACCACAGAGGCCAGATCTCAGCAGCTCTCATCATAGGCTGACGGGGAGAAGGCTGACCCAGGTGCCAGGACTCAGGAACCCAGCGCCCTGTAGGGTGAGACACGGCTGTATAATCTCCTTTCTGTTCTGCTTGTGTGTGTGTGTGTCTTCTTCCAAAGGCTCAAAGGGGCGTCCAGGGGAAATGCTAGTGTGCTTTACCGTTACCATGTCTCAAGCAGGAAGAGTGGAGGGGCAAAACTATGACAGTAATAGGGAAAGGTTCCTAGTCACAAGCAGAGCCTAAGTACACTCCATATTAGTATAAACATGTGGACTCATTCAAAGAAAGAATGGATATTGTCTTAATATTAATATGCATATTAAAATGGGAAAATTGAAAAGTCTGGGTTTTGGCTGAACATCCAAACATTAAGATGGCAATGTGAAATTTGTCCAAACTCCTTGGTGCTGAAACTTTGAAACTTTTTAGTTTCATTAATGTGGGAAGTTCCACAACAAAGGCATTATCACAATGTCTCAGCAGGGCAACATTCAATCTCAGCTGAAATTGGTAACGACAAAGGAGCAAAAATTAACACGACCCCCAGGAGAACTACATGAGACAATTCAACCAAGCTGAAGGGTTGAAGGTCACACTAGATCTGCACTGATTACAACTCAACTGACCCAAACTCCTGTTGCCTGTTGTTTCAGAACAAAATCTGGCTCAAAGAGGAAAAGCAGCATGTTTTTTTTTAGCTTCCTAGAAATAAAAATGTTAACTTTATTGACTTCTGCCTAAGTCTGCAAAGCACTGTGTTAATTTTTGGTGACCTGCTATTATAAACTCTAAACCAATTGCTTTATCTGTAGTTTAAGCTACCTGACAGCTTGTAAAGTGACAGATCAGTACAGGTGATGTTGGGCTCGAGGTGATCTCCGAAGGCATGTCTAGCACCTGTACTGATCTGAGAACACCTGAAGGTACCTGAATTACTAATCTTGGCTTGTCCTTCCCTGGAACTGCACTGTTCACAGGATATAGTTGTTCAGGTTGAGGTGAGAGAACTGCTTCCCACCTCAAAAGGCAAAAGTCTTGCTCTCTTGCCTTCCTCATGCTTTCCTGCCTAGCTGCACAGCCACTGTTCAGCCCTGGCTGGCTTTGGTGTTTGCCAGACTTCACTGTGAGCAAATCCAACACATGAAGAGTGGCAGAAATCTAATGCAACAAGAAAAATTGCTTCTTGCCATTTCAGTGAGTTAAATCAGCCCAATGACTTGTCCAGTGAGTATCTGAGTAAGAGCAAGGGAAGATGCAGGGCTACCAGCCAGCAGCAAAGGGGGAAGCAGGAAATGACAGGCATGCTTCCTTCTGAAAGATATCACATCATGGGGAAGCTGGTCCCATAATTTGCTTCCTCCAAAATGGATATCCCAATCTTCTCTTTTCCTGGGTAACAGCGGAAAATGAAGGTGGGGCAGGACTGTTGTTTTGGTGGCAACTGGCTGTCAAATCAGCTCGGTCAGAACAGGAAGCCTTACATATTCTTATCCTCTCCACTGCCTCCTCCCAGGAGTGATCCACCTCCTCCCTCTCTTGCCCCAACAATAGCATTCACCTAATCAGAAATTACTCATGTGATCATGTGCATGAAATCAGTGGCTGATCTGGCTGAAAACTAAATCTTCTGCTTCCTCAACACACTCATAGCATGAATACAGGCATGAGAAAGGAGCACAGTGATCCAGCTCAGACTGGTTTAATGAGCCAGGGAATGGGCCCTGCAGCCACAGGGCCTTGGACCCCTAAGAAACCACGAGCCAGCACTACCTCATCGCTTCCCTGTTCCCATGCTCACTGCTCCTCCTCCCCCATGACAGCTGTCTGTGCAGAAACAAGGTGGACCCATCAGTAGAACTGTCCATCTGAAAAGTCACCGTATTTCTAACAGCCTGTTTTCCACTGGATTGTTTATGTAATCAAGATCACTGTACATCTGGACAAAATCACCTAGTGAGGGGAAGCTGGACTGCCTTTGTTGGCAAGAATGCCAGTCTAAGTTTAAAGCGTTGCAGTTTCGGGCTCTAGCTGTACAGATAAAAGCACAAACATACCCTACCGTGGTGACACACTAATGACCCCTAGGAGAGTACTGGAATCTGAAACCCGAAGTCAACAGATCCAAGATTTGAATCTGGGACTTGGACAGTTCCAATACAAACTGACTAACTTCAACCTTACATTTTGGTCCATTCTTAATGTATTGTATAATACACAATTTCAATGAGGAAAATGATCTAACAGAATTAAGTAAATAATTTTAAACAAAGTAATAACTTTAAATTTCTACATTACTTCACTGTATATTTTATGGTTAACTTCAACAATAAAACCGCGCAGTAAATCGGGCACAGATGTGCAAAGTCGTTCCCCACTTTTTTATGGATTACAGACGACAACTACCGGTAACAAAATGGTATTCACCTACCATTTGTCATACTATTGAGCAAACTTGGATTTCTGTGTTCTACTGAAAATTAATATATTCTTGGAACATATGCATCTATAAATTTCAAGGATAAGACAGTCTTTTCTGATGCCTATGGGAGCAAGGGATGGGTATCAAGAGAGGCTCATTTTAATGCCAGCACTTCTCAGAGGAACATGCATATGCATATGCATAAGACAGAAGAATTTGATATTTTCACGAAACTTTGGCCCTGCTCAAGGAAATAGAAATGTTTCTATTTTCTATTTTCTATTTTTTTTTTACATTTAATGATGTACTATACACTAGCCTGTCACAATCTTTTCATGAGGCCACAATATAAAGTATAAAGTCGCACACACTTTTTAAGGCTAAATGTTTATGTATATCAGTGATGCTTTCACATTGAAATAGCAGGCGATAAGAGAACTGAACGGGTTTTCATTTATGAAAATATACTGAGACCCAAATCTTGGCCTTATTCAAATTTTTCTTTTGACTTCAGTGGAACCAAGCCCCAGCCATAAAGATAAAAAAAGTTCAGGAATTTTTTCTTTATAGTTTAAATAATATATTACTATGGATTATATACTTCATATAAATATATTTAACATAAATATATTCTACATATATCTAAATGAAATAGTTTAAATATGTTGCAAACAAGTTCTTCTAACGTGGGTTAGGAAAATTACATAAACTATACCTGTTATCACTCAGATTTAACACCCTCAACTTCTGCATCTGACCAATTTCATCAGGAAGAAATTCTAGCTTGTTAGAGCGCAGAGACATAACTGTTACGTTTTTACAGCTTCCAATCTATGGGAATGAAAAATCAAAGATGTTAGGATACTCACTGTGATAAAGATTCATATAACCATCTTTTTATTTCAGAAGGCAGCTAAATTGCATCTTTACTTTAAATAACAAAGAGCAGATAGTAGTACAGAACCCAAAGTCAGAAAACAATGCCCTCGTCAGAAAACATCAGGGATATTGCTGGAAATTATTTGCACCACTCTTCTGAGTGATACTGTCACCTTTAAATGAGAAAGATCTCGTCTTCCACATTGTGCAGAAATAATTGCTTTAACAGATATTTTGTCTGAGTAGGGATGAAATCTTAGGTCTACCACAAAACATATCAATTAGTAGTTTAGAAACAGAATCAGCTTCTCACTTCTCTGGGCAATTCAGGAAGGAAATTCTCATCCACAGCCAACGTCCTCAGGTTATGTAGGTAGCCAATAGTAGAAGGTAAGGACTCTAACTCATTACAGCTGCAGTCAAATTCTTCTAATAAAGATAAACTGAAATTGTAAATACACTTGTTAGACATTATTCAAAGGGTAGATAAGAAAAATTAACAAGCTAAAATCTTTCAAAGTTTTAAAGCATCACATTACTACAGACGTGCCCTGAAGAAGGAACAGGTATTACAGACTCCCACAGGAGGAGCCTATAATAATGTGCTTTTAGTAACTATTAGGAACACTGTTAACCAATCTTACCCGGCAAGGCAGTTTAAGAAAGATCAAGTCAGTTAGTTTCCTAAGTTATCATTCTTATTATTTGTTGTGAGAAAGTATTCCAAGAAAACAGACAGTGATCAGGACAATTCATACAAACCCAAAGGACACAGTCCCTGATCCAGAAAGTTTACAGTCTTAACATACAATGACAGACAACAGGCAAGGAAATACTGCTGTTGAGAGCAAAGAAAACAAAACCAGAAGATGCCTCAAGGTATATTCAAACCAACTTACTCGACATAACTTTTAAAAATATCAGAAGTGAAAGAAGATGAAACTTGCACCGAAATTCAGCATAGTAATTCCAGTCTGCTGTAATCAGCTAACAAAACAGAAGACCCATTTTTTGTACATCTTTCACACGATGAAAAAACCTGCTAAAAAGCAGTTTTGAAAGGATGTCTGAATGTCAAAGACTGGAACAAAGCAAACCAAAATAAGTCATCTTCTGAGCATTTGATCATACCACTTAACTCACAAAATGCTTTTCGCCAAGTCACTGATTTAAAACTGCCTGATAAGTGGAGCTGTGCATTGTAACCTGGTGTGTACCACTATGTTAGAAAGTCAAGTTCTCCCTTCACAAAAAAATCATCTCCATTTCTGCCTTATACCTCTTTCCTTATATTGTCCTATTCTGTCAAACTGTGAAAAAAGAGATGGACCTTTCCTCCACGCAATTTTGTTTTTAGGAAAGACGACTGTCCTATTCTGTCAAACTGTGAAAAAAAGAGATGGACCTTTCCTCCAGGCAATTTTGGTTTTAGGAAAGACGATGAAATAGAGATAACTGACAGGAATTCCTCTGTCGAACTAAAGTCCAGATTAGCCACAGCTCACAGTACTACAAAAAGGGCAGCATACACAGAGAAAGCACTGCTTTCTAATGCATGGAATTAGCATCCAGCATATTACTGCATCGTACTATTACTAAAAAGTACGAAAGTACTCAGTGAAATGAGTTGGAGGTTTTGTATTGAATGCTGAAAGAAAGGGACCCACAGCATCAAAGCCACCTTCTCCAACAGCAGCAGGCACCTCTGCAGAATAAAAGCCAAGGAAAGGACAAGAGAAAGGACAAAATCCAAAGCGCTGACAGCCGGCACTGTTTAACTTTCCCATCCACCACTGCTCCTGAAGAAAGAAGCCCTTGGAAGGCACATTTCTGCACTTCAGCCAGTCACACAACCCTCAGGATCCTAGTGAGTGTGTGTTTGCTTTTTGGTAACTACCGCAGGTGAGATCAGACAACACTTAAACATGCCAATCTTGCTTTGGTGATGAAAGTAGCAACCAATGATCTGACCTTTGCTAATGCAAATAACATGAATAGATACCTAATATTAACTAGCTAGAACCTGTACTGGAAGAAGATCCTAATTAGCAATAATTTTTCCCATTCTGGTGTCAAATATTCCAACAACGTCAGCTGATTCATCATTAAAAACAAGCCTACTATAGACCCTCCAACATCAAACAGAAGTAGACCTTGTCAAAGACATGTAAGTACAAACTTGTTGACACTTATCTTTATCTGCTCCTTTTAACAGAATAATTAAAATCCACATATTCCTAACATGTTCAGCCTAAAACAGAACACGTTTCACTTTACACCTGCCCTTCAGGAATGCAGGGGTGAAATCACACACCCACTGCTCACCAGGAGCACACACAGACAGTCAATAATGGAAAGCACAGTTATCAGTGAAAGATTATTTTCCAGTGAAATTATGTGATCTCCAACCTCAGACCTGATCCTGACATCTACTGATGACCTTAAAAAATGCAGCTGGATGTTAAAAAATTGTTAGAATTAACACTGTACTGCTTATCCAAACCACTGAATAAAAGTTTTGGGACCCATTACAATTGCCATCATTCCCTGCTCCTGCTGCCCACTTTTTGTTCCACATGTACTACCTCTTTCTCTCAAGTGCGCTAATTAACAAAACTAAATAGTAAGCAATTATTTCTTCCCTGATGTATGTCATCTCCCTGTCACTGAGGAAGGGGCTAGCCGCCCAAAAGCCTATCTTTTTTTCCAAATGTGTTGGTTGTTCCAACAAAAGGTACTCTCTCTCCTACAAAACTTGCTCCTCAGTATTTACGTGAGCCATGGCTGCAGGAATGGACCTTCATTCTATGTTTAACTGGTTTAACTGTTTTTATCCCAGTTTCTTAATTAAAAAGCTCTTTCAGCCTTCAAATTCTCTGAAATGTGAAGCCAGAAATAGATACTCTTAACATGGAATTCTCAGAACTTTCTTATAATTGCTGTATTTCAATAGGCCGAAAAGTGAGTCATGCAGTGATTAATGAAAGAGATGCCCGGAAAATAGCCAAAAGCTTTGCTAGGTTTTGGCTTTTGCTTTTTTTTTTTTTTTTTTAATATAAGCTTCGTACCTACCACAATTTATTTCAAAGCAGATGATACAAAACAATTTCAGTAAAGACAAAATTCACACGCGTTTATCTACCTTGTACAAAGTATGGGCTGATGAAAAGAGGTACAGACCTTGACAGTGAAGTTCAACTTGAAAGCTTATTAAATTGCAAGATGCACAGATTCTTCCTTTTGCTGATGATAACACAATCACCAAAAGCTTAAAAATAGATAAGCTAATTTAGAACAAGGAGCCTTCCAACTGAAATCTGAAAATCTGATCCTCTGAACTGTAACTGTGAAGTTTTTGTGGAGTGACTTTTAATGGACAATAGAATTTCATTTGAAAGGTGTTGCCTGGCATACACCATTCTCAGCTTCTTTCCTTCTTGGTGGCATCAGCAGCAGACAAGTGAAGATGGCCACAGTAAAACAAACAAATTCACTGGGAAACTAAATTTTATGTCTGTAACTACCAGGGTTAAATAACTGTGCACTTCAAAAACTGAAGTTTCATTGACCGTGGATTGTGGATGAACAGTAAGTTGACGATAACAGCTAGAATTCCAAACAGGCTAATTCAGCTAAAATATCACTAACCTTACTCTTTTGGGCTAAATTCAGTTCTTTCTCCATAATTATGTAAACAAAGGCAGACAACAGTCAGATAGGCATTTGCTGTTCATTTTGGCACCCATTAAAATGAGACAGTTCTCAGCACCTCAGTATGTGTCCTAAGGTAGATAACGAAAAAGAATCCTGTAGATCCAGAAGTTTACACTTTGCTTTGAAGCATCTGCTACTGTCTCATAGAGTGTAGACTAGATACATCTACGAAACATTCATCTAACACAATACACTGGCTCTTGAGCTACTGCGCAATTATCTGTGTCGGGGTCACAAATTCTCCTCATGACTTTCCTACCCAGAAAGCGTATACCATATTCCATACCATCATGTTCCTGGACAAGTCTAACTGAAGCCTTTGAGGCTTTAACTTTGGAAGCCTCAGAAAAACCTGGCTTAAGAAAACCACCTCTAATAAAGTACAGCTTGTTGGGCTAGAGCTTGCTGAGAGAGAGCAGTTTTCGTACTGTGAACAAAGGGACAGAGTCAGAGTGACAGTGTGCTCACGGATGCCAAAAGGCATCACCTTCCCCTTTCCCCACATTTTGCGCTGACAGCACAGCATTTGTACAAGCATGTGTTGAGTCACACCAGACAGAAAACTAACCATTTCTTCAGGTGAATTCTGTTTCTTCTGCATGAATACCACCGCTGGTGTGAGGGAGATGATGAAAACACGAGAGCTTGAGCTGCAGAAGGTGGCCAGGGACCACTCATTCTAAAAATTTTCCAAATGTCAGTTTATATTGCATTTCAGAAGTAAAATATGTAAGGAAGTGGCATCTTACAAATGCCAATGTTAAAGATACTTTCTGCCAGGAAGAGATACGTGTAGAAGTCACATACTTGGAAGCAGGCGATTCTTCATATTGTTTCAGAAACAGGTTAGAATTCACCTTGAATTTTACAATAAATTGCAGATTTAATTTAGCAATAAGCTCAGGACTGTAGAGGAAAGCTCTACACACAGCAGTACAAGACAGAATTTTGCACCAGTGATCATATAATGTCTGACAAAATGATAGCTAAAGGGCATCACTAGAGCATATTGTAATAGGATTACTTATACAATTCTTTCACATTTTGATGTATATGCCTATGAAATTGTCATGACTTTTTCATTTAAGCTACTTTAATATCTTAAGAAATCTTCATACATATGAGGTTTACAGCCATTTTCTTTCCAGCTTCAAATACTGGCTGTTGCTATGGAAACAGACATATTCCCCAAATACTTATATTTCTTCTACTTTTGTTGCTCTAATCATCTAAATTGCAAGTGATTCATACAGAAAATATCTCTTTGTTCTTTGTATTGGAAATTATGACACATTTAATCTTCCTACACTTATGCCAGTGTAAGTCCACAGAAGCAATGATGTTGCTCCAAATTTAAACCGTTATAAGCTGGGTATTAGGCACACGTTTTGAAATTATTTTATAATTCAGTACGTCTTCCCATTTTTGATTTCAGAAAAAAAACATACTGCAAGCAGAAAATACATTTTTCTTAATGTCAAAAATCTTGAGACTTATACTCACTTTCCAATGGCATTTGGCAGAATTGTAAGCTGATTGTCATCAACTTTTAAAGTCGTAAGCCTTTTCAACAGTCCTACAAAACAGACCATAACGTTTTTAATGACATATGCATGGCAGAAAGAAGTAACAGCAAAATATTTTACATGAATCTTTTTTTTCTTTCTGTAAATATCCTTAAATAGACAATGAATTCTAACACTCAGTAATTTAGATCTGGGTTTTAGAGAACATCTCTGTTTAGGACAGTAAACAGACTCATCCTTGTCCCACACAATGAAGCACTAATTAAATGTTAACCTGAACTGGGACAAGTAAAACGTTAAGGGTATTTCTGAAGTCTTGAAGAGACTTTAGAGAAAGAACAATATCCTATCTGTGTAGAGGAAGAACAGTATTTCTAATTATCTATTATTGCTTCAGTCAATCTATTTATGTTTTAATCAAATTCAAGTCCTCCTGTTGCTTTTCTGAGAAGGTGTTCAGTTGCTAACAGGGCATAAGGCAAATTGTCTAAACTAAATGCTCAACTTACAAAGCTTCATAATATGCAGCTATAGACAGACTGACAGATAGACAGAACCGATCCTGAATTCTTTTGTATCTAGAGTTAATTCTGATCATTAATAGAGTTATTATATACCTGAAGGTAACCAGATCCATACTGGTATCACATTTGTTAAGAAGTAAATGAAACTTCAGCTTTACCATAGCATAACAGCAGAAATCAAGAAAAGAGTAAAGACAGACAAGATGGGAAAATTATTAGTGCTTGAAACAGAGCTTTGTCAGAAAAAAAGATCTATGCTTTCTAGAAATAATTACCATTTCAAAATCTGTTTTTGCCCTGAAAGAATTCTGGAAACACTAAAATAGCACTTTTGTAATGATTAGTCGTAATTCATGTTAGGAATAATATAATCAGTTACATACAGAAAAAATATTAAATTAAATGTGCTGTAACTCAAAAGATGAAGTAGATAAAAAGTGTAATTCAAAGGCACACTGGAAACGTTATTCATTTCAATTTCAAAACGTTTTTGTTGAAAATTTTGTCAAGATCAAGATGTTCCAACAAACATTTAGATTTCAACAAAATGTTTTTTACAAGGGAAAAGTTCAGCCAAAAAAAATTTCAGCACGCTCTCATTTAAAAATGTAGTATTAAAATGACTCTTTATGCCTTGCTTCAGTTAAATCTGTTTACCATTCAGTAATTGGAATTTGGGAATAAGAACTGAATATATTTCATTGCAAGAAACTATAATTCAAAATGAAAGCATTTATTCCTTTTGTACTGAAGCTAAATACACTCTAAAATCAATCTGCATATGTACATCAGAAGACTGCAGAATGCAAAAAATGGAGTGCTTATGCTAAGGTATTACCGAAGACTGAAATGGAAAATAGCTGTAAAATACATCTAGTAACACTCATGTAGTGCAATATTACTAGTAAGCAATATGTACAGGAATTTTGAGTAGGTTAATTTGAAATTGGAGCTCTAACAATTTCATGTTCAAAGGGATGCACTTAGGAAAATGAAAATGATGATGATGACGACCTAGTGGGCTCATCTACTGGAAGCAATAGAAGAGGGGAAAGATCTCAAGTGTTTCTGAAAAAACTATAGGAGATCAGGACCGCAATGAAACATTCAGTTGTACAGAGTGATAATACGTAGTCATTTACCCTCCACAAATGCTACATGTTCTAGAAATAATAAGGCAGAAATTCTATACATGCAGGGTAGTCAAAACAGAAATGAAATGAAATATGACCTATTTCCTTTCTAAACGCTCTCATTTGGAATTGCACTGCTGTAACTTAGAGTGGAAATTTCTCATAAGGTTTTAACACTGTTAAGATAATCAGTATTTTATTTACTGTTAAATTTAAATGAGATCACGCCCATTAGCTAGATAGGATCTTTACTCTGACTTTACAAAATGGTCTTTACGACTGTCCAGATATCAGATGTTTCAAACTTCTTTGGAATTTAGTAGAATGTCTTGTTCCAGCTTTATAATAAAGTCTCATCACTACCAAAAAGATATAAATGAAATCCTTGACTGTAAAACACTACAAGATAGCACGGGCTTTTCTCACCTATGGAGTCTGGCAGTTGCTGCAACATATTAGATGACAATAGGAGATCTTCAAGTCCTTCGCATCCTGATATGTCCAAATCGACAGTTTCTATCCTATTTTTTGACATATCCAGATACACCAGCTGCTTTAACTTCCCTATAGACTTAATAGCATGATACAAAGAGTTTTAGTTGAACAGATATACTAAGTTTAATTAATAAAAGACAACAGTAATACAGGTTTATATTTAGTTATCTCAGCATGCTTTTTACAAGATTCATTTGACTGAAGCACTATCAATAGTGCTCTAATAGCATTCTTATTCAGGTAACTGTAAAAGGAAAGGCTGAAGTAAGAGGCAGAGCTGAAAAAGTTTCTCTGGGTGGTTTAAAAAGACAGCGTGATAATTCTAAGGCCTATTAAGATGCTGTTCAGTATTGTTAAACTAGTCTTTAATTCTACAAGTCAGGTATATCAAACTAGATGACGCATACCAAACTAATTCACGTGTTCCAGATTCATTAGATCTGCTGAAAATTCAAATTCTCAAAGTAATAAAGCTATATTTTTCTTCTGTTGGACACAGATCCAAGGGAAATTCACTCACAATTCACTTCTATTCATACCAGCAGTCCTTAATGTCATGGAGGCTAGACATCTATGTAAAGATTTTCTGTGCCAAACCCGTTGTCTAAATTTTGTAAATCTAAAATTCGACTTCAAATATTCACAGTTCAATTATGAAAGTTCAAGCCTAATAGTCCACTTCATGAACACAGTGCTTAAGCTGCAGCGATAATATCAATGAGCAGCATGTTTATGACAGGAATTCTTCCTTGATTTCTCTTGAAAACTGGTTAGCTTTTAAAAGTTTGAAGCCTTTATTTTTCATAAACTACTGGAGACCAATGGGTTTTCAGACCAGCCATTTAAACTAGGACTGTCCACACCTCTGACTGCAGAAGCAATCTGTCTCTTGATCAGTTATCACAAGGCTGTCACTTCATTCTTGACATGTAAGTTCACCAAGAAAGTCAACAAAAAAGATCTGTGATTTTCCTTAAACTCAAGCACACTAAAAGTACAGGCGAATAGCTGAGAGAGATTCCTGTTGGGTCTGCTACAAATGAGCTGGATCTACCAGCCTGTGGCAGAGCTGTGATACAGACCGAGGATCCCAAAGCAGGAGTGAGCTAAGGCAGCACAATACTGCCCCTGTGAGCTCTCACGCGGTTGCAATACTTCGCTTTCAAGTGGCTCTGTGCTCCACAGTAGGCACCTGGTTGTTACAGAGAGGTTAAACGAAGAATATCAAGCTTTAAGCCATCAAACCACAAAGCAAATAGCTGCCTGTTTTGGTCTGTAATGGAACTCCACGGATTTTGGGAAGGCCGAGGGAACTGCCTGTGCAATCTTATGAATTCTATAGAAGTTCAAGCAATTGTTCCTTGAGTTAATTACGAAGGCTTTTAGTGATTACTCTTTGTGCACATGAAAAGGGTATATAGTTTCAGACAGCTCCATCTCCATATACTTGCAGAACAATATGAATATAACTTGCTTTTTCTCTCTCACCTTGCTAAGATCTATTCTCTACTTATAAGGAGGCAGTATCGTATTATCCTTAATCAGATTTGAGTTGTTGTAAAAAGCAAAAACTCCCTTTCATCCCAACCTTTGCCATTCTATCCATACTAATATTTGAATGCAATTTTTGTTTTATTTCTGGTACAGACTATATTTTTTATTAACCAGTTGATCTCCTAAGATCTACATCTCTAGATCTTAGGATCAATTTTCAATTTGCACTTTTTTTCTATTTTTAATAGTTAAAATATAACATTAACATTAACTCTTTCTAAGTTCTTGTTCTGGGGAAGGCTTTCACGAAAAATCATCCAGGGTCTTACTACAATCAGATTCAGTAAACAATTTATTCACTGAAAATAACTCATTTCTTTGGGAGTCTAGTGTCGTGATCTAGGGAACACTTTCAGTTCTAAATGAATTCTTCTCTAGGAATTGTGATAGCTCAGCAGAGGAGTGTTTTTGGAACACGTTTACCAAACAATTTCACTGTGAAACTGAAAAGAAATGGAATAATGGTTAGAACGCTCTTTCTTGATCTCTAGCTGATTTCAGGATCAGCAAATGCTTTCAACTTCAGCTTGTTTTTCACTAACAAAGCAGTCAGAAAGTGGATATTTGGACAGTAAGGGAAAACGATCTTTTTCTGTGCAAATGTTCTGCTCAACAAAAAAAAAAAAAAAAAGAAAAAACAATTTATTTAAGATGAAAAGCATTAGACAATTCAAAAAAGTGAATTTTGATTAATAAATGTTCAAAGCTAAGTTTTTTTCTCACAATACCTAAACACGCTCATAATATAAAGCTTTAGTTCTATATTTTCCCCGCACCAACGAAAAACATCGTCGTGTGAAACATAAAATGAGTTGCCTCAGGTGCGATAAAATTTTAATGACATGCGATCCCTTTTGCCTGTCATAATCGGTGTAGGCATTTTAAACTGATAATCTCAAATAATTTATGCCAATGAAAACTGAAAACCAAAGTTCTAGTGTGGGATAGCAACAACTGAGAAACAGCGCTAATATCTATCCAGGAATGTCTAGAGCTTTTAATATTCTTTATTCCATTTATAAGAAGAGTGCTTTCTAGAGGCGTATATCTTTATCCCACTGCCTCAGAATTATTTTCAGTATAGTTGAATCTGTATACACCATTCATTATCTTTAAGTCTAATTAGATTACTTAATATTTTCTCTTCTTTTTTAAAACAAATGCAGGGTTTTATAAAACACCTAGTTAATGCATGGTGACTGAGAAGCCAAGAGAAATAATTTCCCCTCAAAATGAAAACTATGCAAGGCTTAAATAAAACAGGCACATCTTCTTTTAGGCACTATCATGTAATAACACAACATGAAAAGGCCATGCTGAGGCCATGCTTATACAAAAGGCCATGCTGAGGCTTTTATTTCTTGATAATTAATGACAATATTAAGTAGAAATATGTACCCATACATGCAAATGCATTTAGTTACTGCAAGGTATATATTTCATTATATCACACAAGAATTTGTTTACATAAAATAAACGTTCATACCCCAGGCAGTATTTGCAAAGAATTATTATCCATCCACAGTTCCTTTAGATTTTGTATTTGTTCGAGAACCTCAGGCTGAGGAAAAGAATAGATAGCATTATAGGCAGTTAAATAACTTTCCCCCCACCGCCCGGCCAAGAGTCTCTAGTCACGCGCCTTTTTTAGAACCCACATCAGACAGTCGGATATTTAATGACATGATCAGCATACTGCTTTAATTTACGTACATCATTGTTCTTTTTCAAAACTTATCAGGAATTTTAGAAATCTCTAGAAAAGAAATTAATACAAAGCCCTTTCAAGTTCTTATTCCAAACAGTTCATTGGCAATATGCAATTTATGAACAAGGTAAATAAGAGTGAATAATAAGTGAGAACTGTGGGGCTTCAGAACTGATGCACTAAAAAGAAAAACAAATCTCACCTTGCAGCACATGCTAAACTCTGCCTTTTGCATAATTTATAGTCTCAAAAATAGCTTAACAGAGGCAGATTGCTCAATGCTTTCCAGGATATACCTCATACTACGATTTAATGGATGCAATTGTCATATTCAGCAGTTCAAAACAGCAGCATGCAATGATCAAGCCTTAAAATTACATTAACATTAAGCTTTAATCTAAGAAGTTCTACTCTTTTCAACATTAGGGGACGTTAGCGGGAGTCACTGAAAAAAAGCAATTCCAAAAATCATTTTTCATTCATTACAGCTGCGAAAATCAAGCATTATCAAGCTGCAAATATTTTGATGTTCCAGCCTAAGCAATATTTCTGTTTTTCACAAAACACTACTTTCACGTGTAAAATAAGTCTTCCAATTTGCCTTTGTTCTGTAAAGTTCTAGCAGATGTTTTCAAAATTGGCCAGAAACTGAAATTAAATATTTCATTTGAATCGGACTGAATCAGATTCTAGCATTTTTAAAGTTTAGAGTACTATTTCACTAGAATCATTTCAACACAGCTGGAAAAAATATGTCTGTCTAATAGCACTGCACCTTAAGAGAGACCTCTAATTATGTCCTGTGGTCAAACTACCTTGGAATTTTGTAATTCCCAAAATAAGTATGGTTTTCCTGTTGACCAAGACATATGGTGCATTATGGGAGGAGCTCCTTCTGGATACATTGTAAGATAGGGAGGTATCTGCTAACCTGGAGAGTTCAGTCCTTCAGTTTTACATGCAGTCACATAACACGTTTCTATAAAGAAATGATGAATCACTACTTAAAAAGATAATTTATTTTGCCTCAGCTATCCCTGTTGAAATTTTGTTGTCCTTTCACGGTTAAAATCACTTCCTCTAATTTCTAGGCTAAATCTATTGATGGTCATTCTACTATTTGTTGTGATGACCAATGGTTCTTTTTTCCCCCAGAGTGATTACTGAATGAGGTTATCACAGATAATGATAATTTTCTTCCTCAACTTTAGTTTTCTAGGAAAAAAAACTTCTTTTAGTTTCCTCTCAAATCAAGTATCATTTGACTTGATATTTCTTGAGATGACATCTCACCAGTGTCTTCGTAAATGGTATTGCAATTTCCATATTGGTGTTAGAAACGCTTCTGCTGATGCATTTTTGGAAAGTATTTCCATTTTCCACATAGATTGCCACAGTCAAAGACTGACATTAGTCTTCGATAAAGGCTCGTTACGTTTTACCCTCTTTTCTTTTCCTTTTCTCCATGCCTTTAACTATTCTTTCTCAAAATTTGTTCTAATGCCTTGCTGCTATTGACACCAGACTCACGAAACTCTGAAAACAGCTACACCAGCTTTCCCCCTCCTTTCCAGGCAGGGGTACTAAAAGTGCTATTTATCGTTTGTCTGGTGCCATTTTTTGACACTTAAAAAGACTGGAAGATTTAAAATCCTTGCCCCATAACTTGATTAACTTGCCCCATAAATTGTTATTTAATGCTCTAGCTTTCCCTGAAACCCGTGTCACAGATTACAGATTCCCTTCTTTGATTACATTAAGCCATCTGAATATGGCTGCTATTTAGGATGTGCCAAATATCTATCACATGATTTGAATAAACTTGTTTCCAGAAAATTAATGAACAGAATTACTTCATTTTTGCAACTACCTTTAATCTTAACCCCATGCCTCTTGCATGAGATTGCCTGTATGAAGGCCTCCCAGTACAGTGCTGACAGGGTTGGACTTTCAAAGAAGAAACTAAACTCTTCCACAACAACACAGTTCTGTGTAGTATTTGACTCCGATAGAGTAAAGAAATTTCTATTAGAACCGACATCAGATTTTCAGAATACATGAGAATAGGACCCCTTACAATCCTTTTTCCAGGTGATCTTCATTTAAACTGGCATCACTTTGCCCATGACATCTTTGTACAGGCATGTTGTACCCTTGCCTGTTGGTCCATTTCAGATCTGGCATTTTGTTCTCATTCATACATTTTTTGGGACAGTTTCCTGAAAAAGCAGTCTACTCAGGGACTCTGGCCCTAAGAGCAGCATAGGGCCACTGGACTTCTGATTTATGCTTCTTACAAAACAGTACACTACACTGGGAAAACGGAGAATGATGTTGAATTGATTTAAAGCAAAGACTACAGAGCCAGACCCCACAAAACCCACACTCTGAACTTGAAAAACTTGAAATATTTTTGTTGATCAAAATCCCAAAGAACGCTTCTGAAAAATTCTGTTCTATGCAAAATAAAAATATTACTACTTTTAATTAAAGGTCTGAGTTAAAAACGATTTTATTTTCTCCTATGTAACAGTATGAACTCCTAAACATTATCAGAGTTATAACCATAATGGGCAGAAGATAGAGCACCGTATAGAAAACAGATGTAGACTCTTTGTCAGAGCTTTTCTACTGCCGGAAGACTTTTCAGAATTTGTTTAACTGACATTATCTTAATTTAAATTAAAGTTACAAGAAATATCACCCTAATAAAACTGTAAGCCCTGAGTCAGAAGCACTACTGCTATAGGGTGTGCTTCCGTGATCTCGGAAGGAACATGGCTTAGTTCCATAGGCGGTGGTGGTCACTGCATAGGCTATCGGTGGACAAGTCACACACAGACATTTATTTCACCATCAGAGCAATAGTTCATCAAACCACAGCGCTGTATCTATGCAGAGAGTTTCACACCATTAATTTGTTCTCTTACAAAAGCAAAAGCCCTCCTTGGCAGCCCAAGCAGTGACAGGTCTCAAACAGGATGAAGCAGCAGTTTTGTTAAGTTTTACCTCTCTTAACACCTTTTTACAGTTCCTGCAGGATAAAGTCAGGGAGTTCTCCTTAATTAGGCACAGCTTAAAACCCACCAGTTTAAACACCCTCATGCTGCTTCTAAAAGTGTCTCATCCTTTAGGCATAGCAGAAAAATACCTAAAGGGAACAATAATTTTATTGTTTCTTATACTGAGACCAGGAAAAATTTCCAAAAACTACTAAATGTCAAGGAACCTAATTCACATCTCAAAGGTGACTTAGGGACAGACCCAGACAACAGATCCCTATATGGCTTCTAGGTACTTAGGAGCATTACTGAAACTGCTTACGATGTCAGAAATTTACTTCTGCTAATAGAAACTTCTAACCTAGGCAGGATGAAATGATTTTAAGGTTTTAAGACGTTAACACAAGTATTTATAATGAGATGATTACCAATTCATCTCACGTTGAAGTATTCCAATGTTAGCAACCGGCTGAAATTGAGAGTCATCTGCAACCTTGATCTGAACTGCAGAAGTTCAGTGCAGATGAAATAGGTTGTAATATCAGCATCTACCTCATAAATTATGGCAAATCTGGTACTCTACAAGCAAGCATGACCATGACGTGTGGTCACAATACCATAATGCCTTTTAAGTAAAAGTATAATTCCCCATGGGCAGAGGGCCCAAACACACTGGTATTCTACTAAAAAATGATGCATTTCTTACCAGTTCAGAAAATTCATTATTGCCCAAATCAAGCCTCTCCAGTTGAGTCAGTTTGTGCATTGACCTGTAACAGATTAGGAGAATATGTAAGATGAAACTTTTATGTGGAAACTGTGGGTCAAATTTTGCTCCCACTTACATAAGAATAAAGCTCAGACAACACTGTTACTATAAAAATAATTTCATCAGATTCACACTGATGCAATTAAAAACAATATACTTCATCTTTAAGACATATTAGCAAAAGTTCTTGAACTAAAAAAGCTAGCAACAATTATTTCAGCATAAAAATAAACATACAATCTTGGTATAATTTAGCATAGTTGCTCAAGGAAAATGATACAGGTTGTATCTATAAGCAACTGAAAGTAACATATACTATCACATAAAATAAATATTATTTAAGATTTATTTAAAAAATTGTGATCAGCTTGTTTAAAATAGCACCAGAAAGTGTTTGGCTCTTTATTGCAGAAGTACAAAGTATGGTTGTTACCTGCCTAAAACTGTAGTCTAACTTCAGTCATGAGGTAAAAACATTTTTGTGAAAGGACCAGCACAAAGCCTACACACTTAAATCAGGCTGAGATAAGGCTTGTTTTGAGTATTTGTGTTGGTTTAAGAGAGTGCACTGGGCTGAAGTGGGTCCTCTCCTCTTTGGTGATTATCTCATTACTCAGTCGCAGTACGGCTGACCTGGAACAGCTCCTCCATTTCACTTATAAGAAAACGAACTGTCACGCTGAGAAGCAGTGGCGTTCAGTGGTACCCAATGATACTTGCTGCCTGACAGGAGTCTAGGAAAAATCTATCACTGTGAACAGATAAACGTCAGAATACAGATTTCTAGTTAAACTAACCATTTGAGAAGCAAGGTGTTGGTTTGCTGCAAAGCGTATCGGGGCAAGCATTGTTCTCTGTGCAGTTCATGGCACAGGAGCGTACCAGGGAGATGGTGTGCGCCAAGGCACGTTGTGTGGACAGGAGGACTGTGTTGTACCCTGCTGGCAGGCGTCTCCCTGGGAGCCCCCTTTTGGGCAGCAGCTCCTCCGAGGGCAACAAAGGCTTCACACGGCCTCTGTTGCCAAAGACTGTGCAAATGACACAGTACAATTAACCAAAGCAGCTTATCCTTCTTCAGAGCATTATGAAAGGTAGGGTCAATTAGGAGTGTACCATGTGAAAATGAACCAGAAGTTAATGGTATCAATCATGCATTATGTAGTAAAGGGCTGGAAACAAGGAATAATCTGGATTTACATCTGTGCCTGACGACTACATAACAGTAAAAAAAGGCACTTTCACTGCTTGGGCTCAGGTGACTCAAACTGTGAACTAAAGAGGAAAAGTAAAAAAATTACTAAAAATGACTAGAAGACCTGCTGGATTTAGCAAAATCAGTGAGATAAATCTCTCAGGTTTATCTCTGAATTTGTGCCGTGAGGAAAACTGGTTATCATCTCAAGTACAGCTTTAGCTGCTAAAGGCACAGATCATACCACACGTGGACTGTTAAAAGCCTTTAAGATCTACTAACTGTGAATATAGGCAAACTTTTAAAACATACATAGAAGTTTTAAAATGCTATACCGAGAACACGCAACAGCAGAAGCACTGACTCAAAGAAGCAATATCAAAGCAACAAAGATATCTTCAAAATAGAAGGGAAATTGCTGAGCAGCTTGTGAACATGCGTCGTTGCAGAACCAAACATGCTAAAATGAAGGCAATACTGCAACATCTTTAAACGGAACGGAGGATGTTCTGCTGTTGGGTAGTGTACAACTTTGCCCATACTGGAAGAAATAAGATTTTTCTAAAGCTGATTTAATACATGATACACAGATACTATTTGCTACTCCATGCTTTTCCAAAATGTCAGAATCTCGTATTTGCATGAAATTAAGATTGGGAAGATTAGATTCAAAATCACTATGCACTATAGAGTAAGCATAATGTTCTCATCTGAACACATCAATCTTGATTGCTTATGATGGTTGACTTCTTAAAGTTAGTAAATGATTTCACAATGGTGCACTCCAATTAGCGCCTTAATTTTATAGAAAGGTTACTAAATCTAAACCAAATGGCTTTATAAATATTCCATAAAGGTAATCCATAGGTTTTATTCATTTTGGAAAAATGGAATAAATATGATCATACAATGAGGATTTTCTTCCAAACCTTTTAATGAAAATACTGCACTATCCATTCCAGATACTAACTTTGCTGGGGACCCGAGAGCTATCATCGCTAGCTATCACTCATAGTATTACAGTACCAGGGAGCAACCCTGGTTGCTGGGACTCAACCATCCCTGCTGCTGCATAAATATGAAATGTTTTCTCACAGTTTCGGCTCCTACCAATTAGCTCTGCCCCAAGCAGAGCTCATGCCACAGACACATATATTTAGGTGACAGCCTGGGTCAAGAGCATTTCCAAAAAGCTGACAGCGTGGCTGCCCTTTTCTGGATAAAGTGCAAATTTAATTAATAAATTAACCACTGCCTTTCTTTCTGTGAACAAAATTGGAACAGGATATTACCCGTACTGGAATATTTCTCTTTAAGCTCTGGTAGACCAATACGCTTGAAATACAGTTACAGATTTTGTTAGCAGTGGTGGTAAGAAAAGAGGATACAATTAATTAAATAATTTATTACTAACTGCAACAGCCAGTTCAAAAGCCTTCTGAGGTATTCAAAGTTGATCCTAATCCAAAAAACAGCACAATCCACAAACGGCACCCAACATATCTGTTCCCTATCCACCTATAAACAAATATCTTTGACACTGAAAAATAAGAGTGTACTATTTCTTAATACTTTTAATTAGACAGCTGGTTTCATTTTTTTGTAGTGCGTCATTAACAAAATTGTTACACTCATACTGATTACATCCAAAAAAGCCTTAAAGTTGCTTATACCGCACCAAGTAATGGAGTTAAAAATTTGCCCAGAAATGATCTATTTCTGCTGTCGAGAACTGACTCAGTAGGATTCACATACAGAAAAACAGGAGTTTAACTGAACAAAGAGTGCATTCGATACAGGAGTCGTTGAGAGACAATGAACGTAGCACTGAAAGACAGAATTTTTACATTATGCTTTTCAAAGTCAGGATTTTTAGGGGGTTTTTGCTTGATGAAAGTTAGAAAGTGAAGCAGTATTTGATTGCAATGTATGTTAACATAAAGAGAGGTTCTGATCCCGACATTTCTATTCAGCACAAACTATGGACATCTACTTCTGCAGTCATGCTTAATCACACTTGGCAGAACTTGAACTATTCAATTTTTTCAAAACATCTCAAGTTTCATCTAAAAATAATGTAAACTGTTCCTACGTTCATAAGACGCTTTCAAAGTATGAACTGATAGTAGCTAAAGTGGTTTTGTCTTACTGAGACTGAACACAGCTTAGATAATGACAAGTCCTTGGGGTTCATTAAAAAAGTAAAACTCAATTTAGATGATTATTCATGTCCCCAGAAACCAAACTTTTACTTATTGTTCAAGAATGCAAATCACATTAATCACAGCTACCGAAAAAGGAAAACAGAGTAAGATTATTTTTCGTAATGCATTATGAATTACACTGTGTAGAAACCAGCCCAGCATGGTCTGCGAAATTCAGACACGCTGCTAGCGTGGTCCCATGGTGCCATCATGAGTAAAAGCAACGCATGGTGTTTTCTACTGCTGATTTAAACAATATAGAGTTTACTCATTTCTAAGACACTTATCCCAGACAGGAGAGTTCAGGATTTTTTTTTGGTTGGTTGGTTTTTTACTATTGGACCCTTGCTTGCCTTCCCATGCAAGGGATGCAGAGTGACTTGCAGGGCTGTCTTCCAGGCCTCCATCTACCAATTCCCCAAAAAACAGAGCTGTTTGGGTGTGAGGAAGGAACTATTACACACATTTTCAGTGCCGCAGTAACATTCCCTAGAGAGGGGGGAATAACAGCTGAATCGCAGTTTCAACACAGTCATGCCTACAAGATCCATCCAACTTTAGATAAAGGAAACCCCTTTTATTTCTGATGTGTTCTCTGTCTTTTCCCTCAAGACATTTTAAGCGACAGGCACAGTTTATCGTTTTCAAATGGGAGAGTTATGGCTTTCTTCTCTCGGTTGTTGTTTTTTCCAGGGTCTAATATGTCCCAATTTATTAGTGCTGATGTTTATAAAGTTTTTGAGACGACCCCAGGGATGTGAGGATTAAAATAAAAATACATAACATAAAGTATCATGAAAATTAGTTTAATAAAGTTATAGACCATGCTGAAGTAATAGAAGAGAGCATGACATACTGATTAGATTTATGAAAGTATCCAAGTATCAATATTCATAATCTCTTGAAAATTTGAAGAGCGTTTTGTTTAGTCTACGATTCAGATCAGAACGTCTATAGTCTTTAGACTAAGGTTGTGGACGGACCTCATTCCTATCTCTTTTTTAAACATATTTCTAAGAATGTGTATGAAAAGTCCTTTATGTAATACTAAATGTACTGATTATTAAAAATGATCCAATTATACAAAGCCTACTAATGTAATGATGAAACTGACTTACATAATCTACTGCTTATAGTTAGTATTTGTATTTGGAGATTTTCCATTGTGTTTATCTTTTTAAATGCAATGCTAATTTACAGTCTGATACAGTACATGAGAAACGTAAAAGGCATGCACTTCATAAGAAATATGGTAACATTTTCTTATACCAGCATCCAACACACGTTTTTCTCTAAGAAGAGCAAATATAAAACAAATCTTCAAAACTGACAGGGCTTAAGTTGATGAGAGCGAGACATGTGCCCATCATCCGCTGCATGCAGAAAATGTATGCTTAAAAATTTAGGATGGCAAACTTGGAAAGTATAAAATGATAAAAAACTTAAGTGATGGGGACCTAAAACATCAACCATATAATCCCTGCAAATTGTATCAGAAGTAAAACTGGTTACAAAAGATTCCATGGCATTCAAATTATGGAAAACCGAGGTTATGATGAAAGCTAGATAGCGAATATCAATGTATATTTATTAAGTAAAAACTCT